AGGTATTTACTCGGCACTCGTACGAAGCCTCATTAGGTTGGCACTTAAGCCCGCTTATGGCTGGTGCGTGAAGCCCCTCACATGTGGGGCGTCGCGAGGGTGCAGGATGAAGCGGCATGAGGAGAGAAGATCGAATCCTACTTCTTTCAATATTTGATGCTTATTGAGCAGGAAGCTGCATTAGAAATGCACGACACAAAGCGCAAAATTAGCTTTTTTCTTTTTTGAACTGTGCGAAAATAAATCGGGATTTGATAGCTGGCTCTGGTGGCGACGCCGTGGGAAATTCATCGATTCGGAATTCAATCAGACTTTGAGACTGCAAGGGGGAAGCACTCTTCCGTGCGCGGCAGAGCATGCTACCATTAGGTAATAAATAACGTTGCACATTTCAATCCATCTTATTTTGTAGGCTGGTCATTTAGCACTTTGGTATGCTGTTAAAGGACTAGCCCTCACGGAATTAAATTGGCTAAATTACAAGACATCCATTCGTTTAATGGATGGATATCATGTAATCAGCACACATCAGGCGCGCAACAGTGATTTGATCACAATGAAGCATGTGGCAATCCTATTAATACCACAAAAGTTTTCTATACCACAATTACAACAAACTTGACCCAGCCGTTATTTAAGGAACGCATTTTATGCTTGAATGAAACATATATGATTGAACCAAGTTGCTTTTAGCACCAAGATCATGGAAACATTGGTCAAAGTGAGCTATTTATGAGTTATTGAAAATAATTGAGCATTGTTGAGCAGCATTGACCATTAGGATGTTGCTGATTACGATTGTTGTTGCCGCGACATAGCTGGACGGAAAGAAATGTGGTACGCCACCGAATTCAGACGAACATTTTCGCACGCCGCTCGCGGGTCACGCAAAAATAGTAACTTAAGTAAAGCACCACTGTTTCTACACGGGATACTGTGCCCTTTATCCAATGATGAAAAATTATACTGGAGTAGGCTGTGGTATTCAACCGAATGACTTGCTCTTCAAACCTCGTCACTGGGCTCATTAATGTAGCCGGATGTTTACCGTCCCATAAACAGAAAACATAGATGTTTGTCGTGTAAAGCAGCGCATCTCCCGACACAAGAACACGTCCCAGAAATAGAAAAAATCGTGTTTGCTTTCACCACCAGATAAAAACCGCAGCTGTTGAGCGGATAAACGATGCGATAGATTTTACACTCCTAAGGCCATAAGATGCGCAAAGGCTTGAAATGTTTAACTGAAAAGCTCTGGAGTACGATAATGACAGTAGCCATCTATAACTAACCCAGTCCCCGTCCCTCCTGTAAAAATCCGTGCCTCCGCCCATGGCCACCACAGAAGAGTGCGCACGTGCCTCCAGTGCCCCCTTCTAGATCCGCCCCTGCACGACTAATAGCTGCTCAAATTAACTAGTTTTTATTATACGAAATTTGAATATGACTTGCCCGTCGTCAAAACACATAAATTGACACCACTGCCTCAACACCAACATTTCGGGCAGTTCCAATTCATTTCAGACAAGCACGCCAACCGCAACCCGCGGCCGGCGTTCCACTCTAAAATACGGTCGAGCAGGCGCACAGCATTTGCTGCGCAGTTTGAAGATCAAAGTCAAGCCTCGTTTGCGTCATCCTCAGCGCTCAGCTGATGCCGTTCGTTTGGTTACGCCAGGCAAGTATCTGTGAACGACGCCGGTGAGCAGAGCTCGAGGGCACCTCAATCTCATCGGGGCAGTCGACGGGTTGGAGCGAGACTGTGAGAGAACTCCGAACAGCATGCTGACGGCAGTACTGGTGTTCGTCTTGGCGCTGGTTACGTACGCGGTTCACAGCGCGCTCAGGACCAGTCACCATCCACCGGGTGAGTGGGCCACGACCGCCGCCACCGGTGGCGCGCGCAGGCCCTCCAATTTTCGCGCGATGTCGCACCGCTGACACGGGTGCGGAGGGTCAATGCTCGTTGCGTACAGGCGTTGATGAGGCTCCTAAGCCCGGCGATCAGCTGATGTTTGGCCAGTGTTAACCCGCTAAACCCGACCGACCTCTGGTGATGTTTACAGGGAACGGTTTGGGAAGCGATGAGGTTTCTTGAAACGGGTCTGTTCACACACGTTAAGTCGCTTTCGGGTGGCATTGTTCTGAAGGGGTATGAAGGGAAGACATTTAGAATCGGTCGTTTAGACATAACAACTGTGTTATTTCGCTGCAGCTACCAAAAGCGACTGTCTTGGCTATGTCTACGTTTAAGTACAAACACGTGACGACCATGCTGAAAAGGGGCAGGGACTAAAAAACCGACGTATGAAGCAGACACGCTCGTCCTCCGAAACAGCTACACTGATCGCCTTGAAACCCTTACTAATCGATTAAATGCGTTGAAATGATTAATGAAGTGGCAATATCATGCACTAATCTGGGGTAGAACACCGCCAAAACGTGAGGGGAAGATTTCGCATGCGTAAGCAGACAACTCAGATCTCAGAACCTACCGCTTTGGTTGTTGTGAAAACCTGGCCATTGGATGTACCATACCCGATTCCCTGTTGCCGTCAAAAATTAGGTTGCTATGGCATGTCAAAATTCATCAAATTTCACAAATTCCAACATTCTTCCTTGCAGACAACTCAGTCAAAAGTTATTTATCGGATCATCTCCAAACCTTCACTGTTCGATAGGACATGCCAAGAAGTTGTGGTGTATGTCACGAGGCCAAGGGTCATTGTTTGTTTTTTTTAGTGCCCAAGCGCGCAGACATTTTTTAAGATTTTTGCAGTTGTGCACATAACAACAACATTTGTACATATTTTGCGCGCAAATGCAAGGGCATCGCCTTCGTGTTGGGTGAGCAAAGACACACAAAACACTGCACAAGACATTCCGTTTTCGGCACACTTGGGACAGCCGTAATCGTAATCGTAAATGTAATCGTAATGTAACATATATCCTTGAGATATTCAGCTCTCCCTGACTGTAGATTGCAGATGAAGTGGGGTTCATAATTTGTGTTAGCATGGCTAGCCCATGTTCATCTTATAATGCTCAAGATCCTGTCAGAGCTGATCACTGATAATAAATCTACGTAATATGGTGTTGAACATGCGTGCTCGCAAATCATAGCAATAACAGCCTCGACGCCCGGCGTTGTAGTCTCCAGGCAGTGCGGCGTCGGCCTTGCGGCTGTAACACTAAGTGGTGGCCAATGAACAAACGAAAAAGATGACGCATCTTAAGGGAGATGGCTGGTGAACTAGGTAAATCGGCATGCATGTTTAATGCAGTGCAAAAGTAAGCCAAATGCAACCTTTATCTGAAAAGTGTGGGGGGGGGGGGCAGTTAACAGTGCTGGCCCCACCTTGAAAAGTGTGGGGGGGGGGGGGCATGGCCCACTGGTCCTCCCTGCTCCTACGCCCATGCTATGCGGTATCTATCCCCGACACTATGCACCATTCAGCACCTGACTTTCAGCAGAACACATCCGCCGAAATTCAAATAACAAAGGACGTCACTGACCTAATAACGCCGGCCCAACCAAGTTGCATGCTTTCTTGAGATTCCACATACAAAGGAAAAGGTATAATTGTGAACGGCACCATATTTGCGGCCCCCATAGAGAATCAGGTACGGTGCATCCAATGATGAATATCTTACAGCGATTAGCGTAGAAGGTTCTGAAATCTGTATTGTCAGCTTTTGCGTGTGAAATTTCCCCTCCACGTTTTGGGGGCGTTTGACCACAGGTCAGGTCATGATCTTATCATCCCATTACTCACCTCACTGCACTGAATCGATTGGTGGAGGTTCCGAGGTGATCAGATGAGATGCTTCGGAGAACGAGCGTGTCTGATTCATGTGTCAGTCTTTTAGTCCCTGCCTGAAAGGGGCTTTCAGTACTCCCTGGCAATCTGTGTCCGAGGGGCACAATTGAATATGGACAGATGTGATCTGTGATACGCCATGTCACGTCACAGGCATGAAGGGCAGTGGGCAAGAGGGCGTTCGAGTTATCTTCCAGAGCTGCCAGATTTGTACCATAAAAGAGAGTGCTCCACATGTGTATGGGGTTTTGAACCAAAGTAATCCTCTTGAGCTTCATCCAATGCAGTTCACAGTCCTGCCCTTCTAAAAACCTAAGCTTCTACAGGTTCTGAGTTTTGGACCCGCGAATGTGCAAAATAATTTTGGCGACACTATTTCAAGGTAATGCAGTCATCTATCACGCCATAATAACGTCATTCAAATGCTGCCATTCCATTAGCCATGCGGCGATCAAGGCCAAGAAAAATATGTTTGTCGAGTCGTTCATATCTGGCATTCTTGAGCATGATTTCCAGATATAGCGTCCGTTTATTGGCTCTCAATCAATGTTTTGCAAGATGTGATGTGGTGATCAAACAATGACGCATTCAGAAGCATATTTGCTAAACAGAGAAACTGTGTTGTCTAGAGCAGTCTTTTCCTCTTAAAAGTAAACCAATAGTTATAGATGAGCTTATTCCATTACGTCTAATGCTTGCTTCGAATCTTCAAATGTGTAGCATTCCCCGTGTTATGGAGACTTTGGGAGATAAAAGTAGCGTCAAATCTGTAATGAATATGAATATTCTAGTACCGTGTGCCGTGCTCATATTGTACCATATTAAAGTACCGTACTCAACACCTTTCACAAATTATTCCGGGGAACTTTAGAGGGAGGATCCAAGGTTTTCCTCGTAGGCCGAGGAGTTAAAAGGTCAATCGCATTAATATCTGACCTTTTAGGTTGTATGTCTCACCGCTCATCGGGCTTACATCTAATTTCCGGGGAATCCAGTCTTCCGGAACTTGCACATCCTCGAGAGTTCCACATGACACACCAATGACGGTCCGACATTGTTCCAGGTCCCAGGGGTCCACCATTCATCGGCCAGGCCCTCTCCATAGACTGGCGGCACCGGGAACGGACGTACATGAAATGGTTTAAGAAATACGGCCCCATTTTCAAGGTCAGCGCTGGTCCAGAAACGTTAATTGTTCTCTCAGACCCAGAACTGATCAGGGAGGCTTTGAACAAAGCAACAACGAGTGACAAATCCACCAACGAATTCTTCAAGCTGCTCTACGCCGACAAAGGAATTATCTTCTCTAGTGGTGACCTTTGGCGGCTTACGCGTCGTTTCACCCTCTTTCATCTGAGGAACTTTGGCATGGGGAAGTCAAGGTTGGAAGCTGTCATGCAGGACCAGATCAATGACTTCATCAACGTTGTGTTAGCTCCCAGTGAGGGGAAGCCTATATTGCTCGACAACAGTATGAATGTAGCTGTCTTCAACATTCTCTGGGGAATCGTGGCTGGAGAAAACCTGGACATTAAAGACACCAGAATTCTGATGGTAATGGACAACCTGAACAAGATGAACGAAATCGCGGACCGCTTCGTGATCTTCGCGGCCATGCCGGCACTGTTGAAGCTGCCGCACCGTATGACCGGACTGGACCGGCTCCTCAAATACTTTCACTACCCGATCGACAACCTGCTGCAGCCGGCGCTCGACCAGCACCGTCGTACCGTCGACCTGGACAGCGAGCCGCGCGACTACATCGACTGCCTCCTGCAGGAGCAGAGCAGAAACCCAGCCCTCTTCACTGACAGCCACCTCCTGCGCACCATCATCGACCTCTTCTTCGCCGGCGCCAACACGACGACCACCACGCTCCGCTGGGCCTTCTGCTTCCTGTGCGCGCGTCCCGACGTGCAGGAGCGCCTCGCCTCCGAGCTGCACCGGGTGGTGGGCGAGGGGCGCGCGCCCACGCTCGCCGACCGGCCGCAGCTGCCGTTCACCGAGGCCGTGCTGATGGAGACGCAGCGGTTGGGCGACGTCGCGCCCACGGGGATGATGCACCTCTGCAGCGAAGAGTTCCAGCTGGGTGGCTACACGGTGCCGCGGGGCGCGCAGGTCCTCCCCCTGTTCACGGCTGTGCACCAGAGCGAGGCGCTGTTCCCGGACGCGGCCCAGTTCCGGCCGGAGCGCTTCCTGGACGCCGAGGGCAAGCTGCAGCCGAACCGCGCCCTTATGGTCTTCTCCGTGGGCAAGCGGGCCTGCCTGGGGGAGGCGCTGGCGCGTGCCGAGCTCTTCCTCTTCGTCACCACGGTGGTGCACAAGTTCCGGCTGCGCTTCCCCGACGGCTTCACGCACGACTTCGGTATTAACCAGAACAGGGCCCTCATCAATGAACCGAAGGAGTATTCGTTGATCGTGGAGAGGCGCTGATTCCAAGCAGCAATGATTTGGTTCGGATGCGTTCATGAAGCTCTGTGTTTCCATTTATGTCAAACTAAAACGATTCAAATGGTAGACAAGCAAGCATGCCCACGGTGCCAAGTTGACATGCCGACATGCCGACTATTGTGCCATGCTGACATTGTGCACTGGCAAAACTCAGTGGGCAAAAGCAAAATAAGCATATTTACTCAGTTCAGCAAACCATTTTTAGCCTGACATGAGTGCGAGAGTGACTTAATTATATGATGACTATGAGGGTTAGAGCGGATAGTAAGTTAATGTGAGAGTAATAGTAAGTTGAAACTGAAATGGAGCCAGGGGTGTAGTTTCCTATTTAGTTGGGGGCTTGAGCCCCCTCCCCCCAACTTGGGCTTCAGTTCCCCAAATCTTGGGGAGAAAATGGGCGGCATCCCTGGAGAAACTTGTTTATCGGCATATTTTTGGGGTGAATTGGGGTGAATGGCATATTTTCGGCTCCATTTCAGTTTTTGGGAGAAACTTGTTTATTGGCATATTTTTGGGGT